TATATATATATGTATATATATATGTATATATGTATATATATGAATTTGTTTTTATATAAACATTTTCTCTCTTTTATAATTGCATATATGAGCTGCATGTACACCCGAAAAGCAGCAACGCCTTTGTCTGCAGAGCCCGCCTATGCTGCTGCTGCTGCTGTTGCTGCTGTTGCTGCTGCTGTTGCCGCTGCTGCTGCTGTTGCTGCTGCTGCATCGGCTAAGATGCTACCTCCTTGCTGCTGTTGCAGTTTGTGTTGCTGCTGCTTCTACATCTTCTGCTGCTGTTGCTTTTTCTATTGCTGCTGCTGGTTTCTGTGTTGATATGTTGCTGCTGCTTGGGTTTGTCTTTCTCTTGCTGCTGCTGCTTGTCTTGCTGCTGCTGACGACAGCAGCAGCACGTATGGCCCCGTAGCTGCAGCAGCAACAGCAGCAGCAACAGCAACAGCAGCATCACCACAGCAGCAGCAGCAACAGCAGCAGCAGTACCAGCAGCAGCAGGAACTGAGCAGAGAGGAGACAGGCAGCAGGAGACAGTGCGATACGCCTCCGCTTAGTTAGTTACACTTAGAGACTGCTGCTGCTGCTGCTGCTGCTGCTGCTGCACAGAGCAGCAGCAGCAGCAGGGCTCCAGCTAGCTGCTGCTAGCAGCAGCTAGCTGCAGTGTCAGCAGCAGCAGCAGCAGCAACAGCAGCAGCAGCAGCAGCAGCGACAGCAGCAGCAGCAGCAGTAGCAGCAGCAGCAGCAGCAGCAGCAGCAACAGCATCAGTGTACGCGGGTGTCAGCAGCAGCTAAAGAGAGACTGTGGTGCATCAGAGACAAAAACAGTTTAGGGTTTATCTGTCTCCTTTTTGTCTCTTCCTGGGTGCCTTCACCCCCTCAAACAGCAGCAGCAGCAGCAGCAGCTGCTGCTGCTGCTGCTGCTGCTGCTGCTGTAGTGTTGGGGCTAAAGTAAATGCTGCTGCTGCTGCTGCTGCATCTGCTATTGCTACAGTTGCTGCTACTGCAGCAGTCGCTGCCGCTGCTGTTAACTGCAACAGCTGCTGCTAGTGCAGCAGCTGCAGCTATCCCTCTAGCGTGTTCAGTTTGCTGCTGCAGTGACTCCCGCTAGGCGTTGCTGCTGCGAGGAGACATAATGGCGCAGCAGCAGCAGCAGCTGCTGCGGCAGCTGCTGCTGCACTTGTGCTGCAGCAGCAAGAAGAGAAGCATCAGGGGGAGCAGCAGGAGGCAGCGCCAGGATAGCGGGGCCGTACTGACACACGAGCTCATAGAATAACGTTCGCAGCAGCAAGCATGCATGCAGCCCCATTGAAACAGATGTTTCTGCTGCTGCTCCTGCTGCTGCTGCTGCTGCTGTTGCTGCTGCTGCTGCTGCTCCTGCTGCTGTTGTGGGGGACCCCGATGCTGCTTCCATTTGTGGATCCGTCGCTGAAGGGTACAGGCAGTTGCTGCGGCTGTTCGCAGCAGCATCTGCAGCAGCAGCAGCAGCAGCAGCAGCAGCAGCAGCAGCAGCAGCACAGGCAACAGCAGCAGCAGCACACGCAGCAGCAGCTCAGAACGAAGCAACTGAAAAAGAAAGAATGAATGGAGATAGAGAAAAAGAGACAGAAGGAGACAGAGAAGGGGACAGCAAGAGAGGAGACAGCAGACAGAACAAAAGGAGACAGAAAAGAGACAGGAAAAGAGACAGAGAAGGACAGACAAAGGGACAGAAGGAGACAGAGAAGGAGACAGAGAGAGAGGAGACAGAAGAAAGGAGACAGAGAAAGGAGACAGAAGAAAGGAGACAGAAGAAAGGAGACAGAAGAAAGGAGACAGAAGAAAGGAGACAGAAGAAAGGAGACAAAAAGGAGACACAAAGGAGACAGAAAGGGGACAGAGAAAGGAGACAGAAGGAGACGGAGAGAAAGGAGACAGAGAAAGGAGGCAGAGAAAGGAGACAGAAAGGAGACAGAGAGAAAGGAGACAGAGAAAGGAGACAAAAAGGAGACAGAAATGAGACAGAAAGGAGACAAAAAGGAGACAAAAAGGAGACAAAAAGGAGACAAAAAGGAGACAAAAAGGAGACAAAAAGAAAGGAGACAAAAAGAAAGGAGACAGAAAGGAGACAAAAAGAAAGGAGACAAAAAGAAAGGAGACAAAAAAAATGAGACAAAAAGGAGACAAAAAGGAGACAGAGAAAGGAGACAAAAAGGAGACAAAAAGGAGACAAAAAGAAAGGAGACAAAAAGGAGACAGTAAGCGACCTGCTGCATCGGTGACAGTCCGCCATATGTCTCTATCCACATAAAACACCAACACCCAAAACCTCTGAAAAAAAAACAAAGACACAACACAAATACACTCAGAAGCAGCAGCAGCAGCAGCAGCAGCTGAAGCAGCAGCAGCAGCAGCTGAAGCAGCAGCAGCAGCAGCTGAAGCAGCA